TCAGACTGTAGGATGCCAATCTTTGCTTCTGTACCGAATCCACATTAAGTATATCAAGGGTGTTACTCACATCCTCCTTCCACTTATGGACTGCAAGAGGGTCTTATGACCCCTGAAACTCTGGTGCTCCAATCTTCTGGTACCTCTCTACCATATGGAGCTAGGCCTCCTGCTCTGTGGCTCTATTCGGGACTACTAGTAGAATAGCTGCAGGTGTGGTCTCTGGGGGTCTCTCGCTGATAGGAACGGCTGGTATCCCCTGTGGCTGATCTACTGGTTATGGTGGTGGTGGCATGATATGATTCACCACAAGCTCCTCAATTTCTACCATCCTAGCGACTATTGGAGCCATAAGATCTATAAGGTAATGGGGAGCCTGCTGTGACTCAGGTTGTGCCTATTGTGGCTCGGGTTAAGCTTGCTGTGGCTCAGGTGGAGCCTGCTGTGACTCTGCATGTCCAGCTCTCCGAGTACGAGGTCTACCACGTCCTGCCATCTCTCTGATCATAAGAAATAAGAGTTTATGAGTCAAAATAGACATATATACATACATAATATATCACAATATGATTTTCACAACAATTTAGTATTCACACAAATACTTTAAGTTTACACAAAATAGTTGTCATAAAAAAAATTCTCAAATTTTAAGATATACGCATATATCATCCTCACTCATACTAGGAAATCCTTACGGACTCTATACATAAATCCTAAGAAACTCTATCCTAGATCCACGACTCGACACAGGATGATCCTAAGGATACTGGAACTAGAGCTCTGATACCAACTATGACGCCCCTGGGTTCACACAAGACTGCAGTCCAAGGTAAAACCAAGAATGTTAAACCTATCATGCACCACACCGTACAATAACATGTTTCACCATCACAATTACTATCTCTCTAGTAGAGTCAATAACAAGTGTATGTACAAAAGCAAGTAAAAGATAATACAAGAGTCAACTGATAAAATAATAGAGATTAAAATTTATATTTCATCATCTAACATACTGAAATACAAGTCAATGTCTGAAATAAAGAAACTGGAGTTTCTCAACAAGTTTCAAATACAAATGTCTGAATAAGAGGAAATAAGGCACACAACCTTTATAACTTCTAGAATAAAACCCTCAAATATCTAAACAAAAGTCTACAGTGGAGCTCAAAAGAAAAATATAACTAAAATAAACAACTGAATTACTAAAGTGCATCGCCATCAACCTACGACTCTCTAGGCACCTAGCTCGTTACCTGAAAGGGGAGGGAAAACGAGCATCAAAGTGCTAGCGAGCAACATCACAACCAACTCCAAGAGATAGGGCTCGTTGTATACAGAAAATATAGTTAATACATATATATACATAAAATCACTGATCCTATTTAGAAAATTACAACAAGAGCATAGGTACGTCGAGCGAAATAATCCAAACAAGGAAACCATCATGTATATACCTAGTAGCTCAAATAGTAAATCCCTAACAATAAGAGGATTTTAGTATTTAGGACATTACAACACGAGCATAGGTACGTCTTGCAAAATAATCCAAACAAGGAAACCCTCATGTATATGCCTTGTATCTCAAATTGTAAATCCCTAAACACCAAACCCGAAATCTAATACAGGGACAATAAATAAAAGAAGACAAACCCGTCTCATAACTTAAAATACTGTGTCATGTCACAACTCACATAAGTGTCATGTCCAACCTATGCAAGTGTAAGTGTCATACTCAAGATCTAAACTGGTGTCCAACACATGGACTAAAACTAGATGTAGTGGATGTCCAACACATGGACTGCATATGTAAATTGTCCAACACATGGACTAAGAAATGAATGTCCAACACATGGACTGAACGTGATAAATGTCTAACACATGGACTACACATAATAATTGTCCAACACATGGACTAAATGAAATATATGATAAGATGCATATACACTACTTTCACACGTGCCTCGGTGTGCTAACCTAGACTCGTGTCCGCAAGTCATCTCACATGTAGAGATTCAAAATAAACATAAATTTCTAATATTATATATTCGAGGCGACTCCTCGTTCATATAGAAGTACGCAAAAACAGTAAACATGCCCAAACAGTTTCGGTTAAAACGAAACAACCCAAACAGATCCAAATCGAGGAAAACTAGAATTTCCTCATCAGTCGAATCATGAGTCAACTGGGATCATCGGTCGACTCATTGGTCGACCTAACAGACAGAAAAGAAGAAATCTAAAAATTTCCTGTCCGTCAACTCATTGGTCGACTCATCAGTTGACTCATAAGTCGACTGACAAGTCGACTGATAGGTCGACTGAGCAGACAATTTTCTTGTTTCACATATGATGTGTGTTTTGTAAAATTTTCAAACTAAAATAACTCTTTTTATCATTTTTCAGCAGCATATTTTCGATTCTAACAAGTGTACAAACTGAAACGAAAGATTTGCATGTAATTACTTATACTAAAACACTAAACATGTTTATACATGTTTAAAAATGGATTTAAAATCAATAAATCACAAAGAAACCCATGTATAAATCTAATTTCAGATCTGGATCTAAATTACAAAACGTTGGTGAGTTTTTATTAACTAAAACATTTAAATCTTGCAACCCATATTATAAAGAATCTATCTTTATGCATAAAATATGTTTTAGGCTCAAAAATCCAAAATAAAACTCAATGAAATCATACAAACAGTGGGTATAGGGCTGGATGAGATGTTACTCGCCTCTGGTATGCTGCAAAACACCTAAACCCTCGAGGAAACGATCCTCCTTCGACAGCACCACAAAAACCTGCTACAAGTCCTCCGAAAATTCCCCAAAAATCTCCAACAACGAAGCTAGGGTTTGAGGGGAGAGAGAGGGGCTAGGGTTTCTCTGAGATCTGATAGATTTAGGGTTGGTTTTTGGTAAAAGAATATATATATATAAGCGGTCAAACCCGAAACAAAACTGAACAGACCCGCAAACTAAAAGAAAACCCCAAAATCAGCCCGTCAGTCGACTCATAAGTCGACTGATAAGTCGACCGAGTAGACAGATTTCCAAATACAAGCATGTTTTTGCTAATTTACCAAAACCAATGCACAAAACTCTACAAAAATATACTCATACATCTCTAATGACTTGTTATCAAGTATATCTATGACCTCAAGTCATTTACCACAGTAGAATTATTTATCATCAATAATTCACATATCTTCATAACAAAAAATATGGGATTTTACATAAAGATCAGTCGACTAAGCAGAAACAAGATTGAAAAGATAGAGCAGTTTATCAGTCAACTGATTTGAACAGTCAGTCGACCGAAAAAACATGCACAACACATATTTGAACAATAGACTTGATTTTCAAGGTGTGTTTAAAAATAGAAAATAAATTTCAAATATTATGAAACATGGAGAAATGTTTATTCTGATGAAAACACAAATGTTAAAAAAGAAAAATTTTAAATATCATTTCCCATTTATGAAAACTCATCATTTTGCAAAATCTCAAGAATAAGAGTTTGTTTAAACACTTGATTTTGACAAAACAATTTCAAACCAGTTTTGAAATCCTTTTGAATGGATTAATGATCTTAGAAAAGATATAAAATAGTGTCGTTAAGTCTATAATCTAAAACGACGATAAATCAAAACAAAATATGTGTATGTATGAATTTTGAGTTCTAAGTATAAACACACAAAGTATAAACCTAAAAACATTATACCCAGGCAATAGATGTTCAATTAAGCTCATCTTGGTTGTGGATGAAGCGATGATGAATATTGACTTGAATTGCGACGGCTTCATTCCGATTTCCTTCCAACCTTCATTGAATGTCATCGTTAAGCTCAATTCCAACCAACCTCTAATTGATGATCTTTGTGTAGGATACCTAATAATCAAATACAAACACTCGACAAACGATGATAGGAATTGTTTGTTAATTATCAAAACTAGATTAGATGGTAGGCTCATAAATATGAGACCTAACAATTTCTCCTATAAACTTTGCCAAAAATGAAAAACGAATCATGTATCGTGACCTAAAATAATGGAAACTAGCACTCTATGAAGTCATATAATTTCTTATATATAACACTCCCCTAACCATTTGGTATGCCCAACTAAAAAAGGAATAAATTGAGCTCTTAGTGAATGGATCAACGATCACGCAAAGTACAGTATTTTATTTCTGGCTCTTAGGAAAAGCTAACATAAAATCCATCATAATGTGCTCCCACTTCCATTCTAGTATCGGGAATGGTCGCAATAGACCTTGTAAGAGCACCAAATAAAAAAACTCACTATTACTCACCGCCTTACTATATCGATGTTTATCACCGTCACACCTTTTTAGTTTTTTAATTAATTTCGTCTCCACCGCATATCGGCGGCCACATGGTGACCTGCGCGAGTAGCCACAAGAGAGGAAGAGGGAAAAAGACCAGAGCGATGGGAGAGAGAGAGATCGGAAGAAGACGAGAGAGAGAGAACACGAGAGAGCGAGAGCGGAGAAGAAGAAGAAAAAAGAAACAAAAAGGAGTGAAGCAGTAACGGGATGAAGAGGTAAGGAGAGAGAAAAAGAGAAAAAAATAGCAAAATTATTTTGGGACCCCTGAAATATTTTTAGTTTGTATATGGGTCCAAGAGGAATAAAAATATCTTTAGGAGCCTTGAAAGTTTAAAAATTTGTAAATGTACCCTAACAGAGAAATCTAAGATAATATATGAATAGGATAACTTCGTATAGACCCCTGTTATTTGCTTTGTTTATAAATAAGTCTAATTTGAAGATTAAGAGATCACTTTTGGGCTGGATTAATTACCCATAACCCCCTGCCTCATCATAAGTTAGAAATAAAGCAATATCTATCCTATTTATGGATTTTAAATTGTTAGGGATTATATTTGAAATTATTAACTCTAGAATATAAATTGATTAACTTATAATATGTATTATCGTGAACTAATAATAGTCTTATTATTCTATATTATAGGTTCAGATTTGGTATCTGGAAAGTAATGTTTTGAGGAAGCTGTACTCAGTGGAGGTGAGTTCATTTCCCACTAGTATCTTATAATATGAAATTGTATGAGTGTGATATTTGATTTATCTTGTGATCAAAAAATAAATAATATATAATTTTCATGTATATAAAGATTTGATCTATTTCTGTTGTGGTCTGTCCTATAATACGATGTTAGCCTCATACAAGATATGAAAAGAAAATTTGATTTTTTTTATGTAAAATATTAAAAGTGAACTTGGATCTCATGCAATTTCAAATAATTGTGGGCATTGTTTTATCTGAAAGTTTTTAATGAAGTATTTAGAATATATTTCAACAGTTTAACGGATTTAAAGATTTTTCATGACTTAGTATCTGATAAAAATAAAGAAAAGTGAAAACCTGTAAACTGTTTTAACTAAAATGAGGAGTTTTACATTGTCCACTTTATTTAAAAATATCTGTAAATTCTGGTACGCAAGGTATTACTCATTTGACATGTGATCTCGATGTTTTCAAACCCTCAAAAAGTCTACTATGGATTGTTTCTGCCTGCCATATGGTGAATGCATCTTTATTTGGCCCCTCTGTATTGGCCCTTCTGTATTGGCCCTTCTAAAATTTATTCTGACCCCTCTGTATTTGGTCAGTAACCTATGGTAGTGTTAGGTACATTCGATTCCTGAGAATTATCTGTTATGTGATGCGTTTTATGCATTTCCTTGCTACTGGGCTATAATTCGTAGACTTAGTGTGACATATGAGGTGACTTTTACATTCACGAATAACTCATCGAGAACTAAGATTCTGACAATTGACTGTGAAACTGAGAAAATAATATACTTCTCGTTTTTTACAAATTAGTAGTTCTTTTATTTCTTAATGTTTACCTTGATTCAAAAAGGGTTTGATTCCAGAAAATGTCGCAGTATATTCAGTTGCACATAAGAAAGAAAATATAGTTGTTGCATTCTTTCTTGAAGATTACAATATTATGATATTTAGATCGTATTTTGCTATTTTGAATTTCTGATGCAAAACTTATAATTCGTTATTCTAGGAATTATTCTTACTATTATTTTATTAGTTATCTAGGAACTCTAGTGGGAAATGTTCTCACTGAGCTTTTTAGCTCACTCCGTTGTGTTTCAATTTGTTTTAGATCTGAGTTAGAAAAGTGATAATCCAAAATTTTGATCGTGGGCATGGTTGAGAAGTGCTTAACTGCCAGTGGTGATATGTTTAGCAAAAAGAATGTTTTACGTTGTAAATATTTATAATGGTAAGGGTTGTGGAATGTAAGTAACATTTATAAGTATATATATAGTTTGTTTTGAGCTGCTATCATTAGCAGGTTTATAAATACTTTGACAGAAACTATGTGATATAAGTGCCAGACTTGACTCGTGCACGAGACTTGTCTTGTGCATGGGTCGATGTTGTCTCGTAACCCGTATTTATGAATTTCCGCTGCAGTTTCAGGGCGTGACAGACCTGCAGTCTTTTAGTGTTCCGTCTTGATATGTTGACACATAAGACATGAGATATTTGGACACATATTCAGCAATATCACATTTCATACCTGTCCCACCAAAAGTATAATTTTAGGTCTTTGTAATATTCATTCCTTCAGTATGAACTGAAAGCATCCAACAATGAACTTCATCAAGCAATTCTTTATGAATTTCACCTACTGAAACACACAAACTATTGCTGTTCCCCAAAGAATCATCTCTATGAATGTAGATGTCTTTCCTCTTACCTTCAAGTACTCTCTTCTTGACCTTAATGTCCTCTTCGTCATCCATTTGTTGCTCCTTGTTACCGTCAATCAACAAAGGTTATACTTACATATTCGACATCTATTCATGACTATTCGGTACATCAATACTGTAATATGGAAACCAAACGTCACAGAGAAAAATTAGAAAACCATAGGAAAGATGATTGATGAGAGAAGGATTTTGTGAGGTTTGAAGCAAGTCCTACATCACCGGTCGGGTAGTAATAGATAAGTTTTATATTATATAAGGCAAGAGTACAAATTACACAGATGAGATCAATCAATCTCCAGAAATTCACTTTCACACTCGAGCTATGAATGATAATTCTCCTTTGCTTGGTAGAACACAACATGATTCACTGGAAATTGTTCAAATCTTTTGTATCAAAAAGCTAGGAATCGAATTTCTATCTTTTGGCCAACAGGGTCCTACCAGATTCAATCAAACTAGAATCATGTATCCAGATTAGAAATCCATATTCAACTGGAATTTAGTTGAGGTTTATTGGGTAACTTCTTTACGGGAAAACTTTATAAATTAGGTGTTTTTTCCCCATCAGGTTAGATGATGGGAAAATAAGAGAACTTGAGGTAAAGAGGTGTCTCAAGAGAGCTTGGACCAATACGGAGCATTACTGTTTAGATACTAGGACATTTCCACTATTAAATTCCAAACAGCATTATTAAAATAAATGAGATCTACTCACCCAGTTATATGATTCACTTCCTTCCGTCTCTATACTTTTGTCTCCCATATAATTCACTGAGCTATATGTCTGAACCAAGCTTTTATAAGCATAAGTACTTGATAACCTCGTCCCTGCAAGCAAAATATTAATCACCAAAACCTCTCATTCAATTACATCACAAGGTGTCACATTAATTTTATTATTACTGCAATCCATTTCATGATTATCTTGGCTGGTTTGCCTCAGGTGTAATTTAAACATACAAGTATGTCAACTGAAGTCTGAGTTTGTGCCTTATATTAGGCACATCGTCTGCTGCTGACGAAAGTGAGGTTGCCAAAGAGGCGATGATTGTCAATGCTTATCCTCCAAGGGAGTCTGCTAGACGAAAGAGCCGTACAAGCAAATATGGTACATGGAGGTCATGCAATCTAATGAACATAGAAGAACATGTAGAGGAACTAGCACAGACAATTACAACATACAGGACTGATTATACCTATAAGCCATCCGCCTCTACACGGGAGACTGGTCAACTTAACAAGCTTGGTTTAATGGAGTATTGTCTTTATCCCAATGGGGTAAGATACACAGAGAAATTTAACTGGTATTTATTAGTTAGCCATATATATATAGTTTATTTCTGAAATATTGATTCACCTAATATTGATATTCTACGTGGCGTATGTATTTCAGGAAAATGATACCTCCCTGTGTTTTATCTATGTGAAGAGAGATAAGAAATCAAGGGGCAAGAGTGAAGGGGTTGGTAAAATGCAGACTGAGGAGGAGGAGCCACCTGCTGCGCATCCTGGGGCTTATACCTTCCCACAACAAATTGCAGATGCAAATGCCGAAGTAACAATTATAGGCGCAGTACTAGTTGGTGCATCATCAAGTACAGCACCACCTAGGCATTCTTTGGAGGATGAAGTTGCATTGATCGCAAAGAATAAGCCTACAAGTACTGGGAAAGCACTGGAATTTCAGGGGGTGGGAGATGACGATGCAAAATTACAGGATGATTGGGAGAAAATAAAAGCACAAAAGCAGACGGAGATGGAGGCATACGTTGAAGTTACATTTGAAGATGCAGATGCAATTGTTGGCTCATCATCAAAAACTGTGCCACGCAAATACTTCTTGGAGGACGGAGTTGTAGTGACTGCAAAGAATGAGTCTATAGGTTCGGGAGATAGTGCAGAGTTCTGGAATGATTGGGAGATATTATCAGTATCTAAACCGACGGAGGAAGAGGAGGAGGAGGAGGAGGAAGACATGATGGAAATGTCTCAACATCCGCCACCTGTTGCGCCACAGGAGACCTATACCATAGGTACAGAAGATGCAAATGCCACTGTTGCAGGACTCAACTATTCTTTGGAGGATGAGCTCGCAAGTAGTGGAGAAGCATTAGCGCCCAAGTGTTTGGAACATGCTCAAGAATTGTGGGATGGTTGGAAAGAGTTTTTTGTAGTTGATCAGATGGAGATGGAGGAGGAACAACACATCACGGAAGCGTCTCCATATCCACCATCAGCTTTTCTTGACGATGACTACTCTAACCTTGGCTGGTTTTGTTTTGAAGATAATATTGTCACAATTGACCATGCGGGCTTCAGTTCTACTAATTCAGTACCTCGCCAGATGGATGTGGCTGCTAAACCTGGACTTTCACCTATCACAACTGATTTTCATCCGCCGCCTCCTCAAGAAGTATTCCAAGGTTGGATTATTCCCCCTCCTGAAGATCACTTCAACCTTGGCGGGTATTCTTGTGGAAATGGTATGCACGCATTGGAGTTTACTGTCTTCGACTTCACTAATACAGTACCTGGTCACTTGGAGATGGCTGCAAAACTGGCAAATTCATTTAGAATTCCATTCGCATTTGCAGAGAAAGATGGGCCTGTAAATGCATCTGCTTTTGATCCTCTTCCTTTTGAAGGTGCATTCCAGGGGTGGACTATTCCCCCAACTGAAGATCACTTCAGCCTCGGCTTGGACGGTTGTGGAGATAATATGCATAAGTTGGAGCTTGGAAGCCAGAATTTCACTGATGAAGTGCCTAAAGATGCCTCGCATCAATTTATAAATGCGTCCTGTCCCCTTGGAGATGGACAGTATCAAATCTGCCGTTGCGGTATCTAGCATGATTTTGGTAAATTATAGTGGTCAAAGGCAAAAGATAACCTATGAGAGAAAACAGTAGATGATGCAATTTTCTAGTTTCAGTTTTGAAGAAAATCGATAAAACCCTAATTGTATTATGAAATCTCTTCTTGGGCTTATATAGGCCCCTACAAATATAACTTTCAAATAACCCCCTAACTATTATCAAAATGTCAACACTCCTCCTCAAGATAGGCGAAAGATATCCACTAAGCCCATCTTGTCACATTCTCTAATCATATCTACTGAGCTAAGTCTTTTAGTCAGACAGTCTGCTGTCTAATTCTTAGTTGGAACATGACTTAACTCTAGTAGTCCATTGTCCAACTTCTCTTTGATAAAGAACCTATCGATCTCGATGTGTTTGGTTCTATCATGTTACATTGGGTTGTTGGCGATACTGATAGCTAATTTGTTATCACATCACAGCTTCATCTTGGCTCATTGATCCAGGTTCAGCTCCATCAGCATATTTTTCAACCATAACAACTCCGCAACTCCCAAAGCCATAGCTCTATACTCTGCTTCAGCTGTTGATCTTGCAACCACTGACTGCTTCTTGCTCTTCCACGAGACCAAGTTACCTCCTACAAAAATACAGTATCCTGAGATGGACCTCCTGTCATCAGCACAGCTAGCCCAATCAGAGTCACAGTAACCCTCAATGCTCACATATCCATTCTTCCTGAATATCAGCCCTTTTCCGAGAGCACTCTTCAAATATCTCAGAATATGGTACACTGCGTCCATATGACCATTCCTCGGATCATGCATGTAGCGGCTCACCACGCTCACTGCAAAAGAAATATTTGGACGTGTGTGACTCAAATAGATCAACCTGCCCACTAGCCTCTGGTATCTGTCATGATCAACTGGTTCTCCAACCTCTGCATCCAGCTTGAATTTCTGGTCGATCGGTGTAGTTGCAGGTTTGCACCCTAACATCCTTGTCTCTTTGAGAAGGTCCAGTGCGTACTTCTTTTAGGAGAGGATAATCCTCTCCTCTCCTTGAGCTATCTCTATTCGAAGAAAGTATCGAAACAAGCCAAGATCTTTCACCTTGAATTCCTTATCTAGTCTCACTTTGAGTTAGGCAATCTCCTTTTTATTATCCCCTGTAATAATCATATCATCCACATATACCGCAAGCATTGTAATGTGGCCTCCATCTTGTTGAAAGAACACGATATGATCGGCGTTAATCTGCTGATACCCTATACCAATCATAGCCCGACTGAATCTGTCGAACCAAGCATGAGGAGACTGCTTCAGCCCATAGAGAGACTTCTTCAATCTGCAGACCTTACCCACTATCTGATCAGTATCGAATCCTGGTGGTATCTCCATGTATACTTCTTCCACTAGATCTCCATGAAGAAATGCATTCTTCACATCTAGTTGGTGTAGCTTCCATCCACCATTTATTACCAGAGAGATCAAGGTCCGAACAGTGCTTATCTTCGCCACCAGTGCAAAAGTCTCATCATAGTCGATGCCATATGTCTGACTGTACCATTTTGCTACCAGACGAGCCTTGTAGCGCTCAACCTGTCCATCTGGATTCCGCTTCACAGTGAAGACCCACTTGCATCCAATTGCTTTCTTCCCTCCTGGTAGTTTTACTAACTCCTAAGTATGGTTCTTCTCAAGAGCCCCTAGCTCCTCATGCATAGCCGCTTTCCACTTTGGGTCATTCTTAGCAACCTGCCAATGGTTAGGTACAGTAATAGAATCCAATGATGCAATGAATGCTTCATGTGCAGGGTGGATGTTAAAATATGATACAAACTGGGTAAGATCCTAACCATATCTATAAGGAGGATTTCCCGTATTGCTGCGAGTAGTCCTCCGTACTGACATTTGTGTGGGAGGAGTAAGGAGAGGAATGATATCACCTTTGGAGGAATTTGGTGGTGGTGTAGGTGTGTTAGGAGTCGAGGTAGGCGTTGTCAAGGGACTTGGCACCAGTGGTACTGTAGGTACTATTCCTATAATTTGCTTCCCCTACATACTATAGGTAAGTAGCTCCCCCTGAACCGTGGGCCTAACACCTCTTGTCTCCCTTTCTTCTTCTTCTTCATTCTCTTGCACTTCAACCAATTCTCCCTCCCAAGGAATCGATAGAGAAATCGATTTCTCCATATTATTCTCTACATTGTTCACCTGCCTCTCACCATTCTCCCCCTCTCGCCTCATACTTCCAGTATCGGGCGAGTCACTAACGGATGAGGTTACCTTCCGGGTGTAATATGACTCAAGTTCTCGAAAGTGCACATCCATGCTCACAACACTTGCGGATGAAGCTTGAACTTAAATCTTTAACTGGAATTGCGAAGCTTCACTTCACTATTCCGCCAACCTCCATTTGATATGATCGTTGAGGCTCGATTTCATCCATCCTCCAACACGTTGTTTATTTATAATAAATAGATATACACCAACACTAGACAAACGACATTAGTGGTAAATTGTTTGTTAAACATCATCAAAATAAAGAGTTTAACAATCTCCCCCTTTTTGATGATGATAAACAATTTACAAAAAGGATATATGCACGAAAGGAAATGAATACATAAAGTATAATATATCATGTATATAAGCAAGAAAGGCTATACTCATAATATTTCTCCCCCTTTGACAACATCAAAAAGGGGAAAACCATAAAGAATAAAGAGAGTGAAAGCCCCCCCTACAAATAAGCATGGGTGAGTATAAAACAAATATAGGGATTGCTCCCCCTATCAAAATACCTTATGGAAAATATACAAGAAAGATCAAGGCAAATATATGTGAGCAAGCATAGATAAAAAATATGCTAAACACCACTCACATACAAAAAATACAATGAGGACACATAATGATATGTCATTATAAATAGGTGTCTCAAAATACAACAAAAAATATAAATAGATTTATGAAATCAAAAGAGAGAGGAACATGAGAATCATGCAAAAAGTTATCAAATGAAAACAAATCAACCAAATAAAATCATAAACCAAATTTTAAGCCCAAAATTGATGTTTGATCAATAAAGAAAATTTTCTTTGAAGAACTTGATCAAACCACTCATAGAATACATTAGAAAGCATATTTAAAATTTGAATCATCTATTTGTGCTATATAATGAATTCAAAACAACAAATCAAAACAAAATTTTTAACAAAATGCAAGAGAGGCAACAATATATCAAGCTCTTAAGCTTGTTCCAACCCATATAAGCATTTTTAGTACCCGGTAAATAAGATTAGGAAATAAACACCCAATAAACCCGGGGGGTTATATTAACCAAACCTGTCATAAAAAAAAAACCAATAATCATGAAAACAAAAGAATATAACTAATAAGAAGAATTGTTTTCATGTTCAAAAGTTTAAAGTATAATTTTCAAAACCAAGAAAAGAAAAAAGAAAAATACTAAAATTCTTGGTTTAAAATTCAAATTTGATTTGGTACCCAAGAGTTCTTGGTACCAAGAAATTTAGGGAAATGACCCCTATCTTTTAAGCTCAAAACCCTAGGGTTATGAACCCGTTTGGGCACATGTGATGCACTAACACGGTCAAAGCAATAATCATTCAAGTGACCCTTCCGATTGCAATTTGTGTAATGAAAGAGATCCATTTGTTTTTGTGGACCATTAGCTCGTGCACGAGAATCATTTGCAAATAAAGATTGTCTTTTAGAAATATTTTGCAAATGAGAAACATTCTTAAATAATGGTCTATTTGGAACATATTACAACTTAGAAGATTTTTGCATATCAAAACAAAATTTAGCAAGATGTCCAAACCTACCACAAACATCACATTTAAAAACATGTGGTCTACTAGAAGCATTTGGCAAATGAGATTTCTTTTTCAAATCAAAATAACATTCGGCCAAATGACCAAAACGACCACAATGATCACACTTGAACACACTAGCATGCTTACGATGAACTTTGTGAGAATGAGCATGTGAATGTGTAAGTGTACAAGATGAAGAAGCTACATGAGATGCACAAGAAGCATTAGAATTCTTATTTTTGTGTGCATCATGGCAAAATTTAGCTAGATGGCTTTTACGACCGTATGTAAACATTGCTATATATGTGTGCATAATGAGTGGATGATTTTGACTTAGACTTGGCACACATATTCATAAGATTCTTATGATTACTAATGCATGTTTTCAAAGTTGAATCTAAAGATGAAATGAGATTATTCACAAGATTCAAATCTTTATTATTAGGCGCATATGCATTTTTATTAGAAGTAGAATATAAATAGTCATTTATAAAAGAAGCAATATCATTTTTTATGTTCTCTACTTCTAACATGGCATTATCTTTTTTATGAGATAAGCTAGTTATAGATGTAGTTAATTTTTTATTTTCCAAAATCAACATGTCATTGTTTTTTTATGCATGGTATTTTCTTTTGTAATGACATCCAATTTTGACACTAGCTCCTCATGATTAGATTTTAATTCTACATGCTTACTTTGTAAGTCAATAAATTCTTTATGCAATTTGTTATAGGCATGCGATAATTTTTCACTTGCATAAGCAAGTTCATCACTAGATAAATTATTATCGGGTACGGAATGGCATACCACACTAGGGCTATCGCCTAGTGGCCGTGTGCATGATGATGCTCTAATCACTTGAAGAAGAATCCTCCAAACTATGTCGGATTTCCTCCAAGTTGCCTTGATGTGCTTCTATTAATTTCCATAAATTTTGAGCACTATCAAAATAAACAAACTTGTTAGACATAGATAAATTAAAAGCATTTAACAAATATTCTAACAAAATATTATTTATTGTAAACATTCGATGATCATTTTTATTCCACTTGGATTTCTTCAAAATGGGCATAATATAAGCATCATCTATAATTTCCCATAAATCGAAGTGTCTAGATTGAACAAAGAGTTTAAATCTAATACACCATTGGGTATAGGAAAAATATCTAATCTAGGAGCAATATTGATGGTATAACCTAAACTAGATGCACCATGTATATCCATAATATATATATATATATATATATATATATATATAATATATAATATAATATATATATATATACTATATAT